TGCAGGCTTCAAAAGACTTAAGTATAGGCTCGGTGTAAACAGTAGATACAAAATGTTGATCATTGGTACCGCTGGCCGTCACCGACTTGTTACGCTTGGTTAGTTCCCGCTTCTGATTTTCAGTATCGACGTCGATTATCGCCGCTAACTGCTACACTTTTGCAGCACGAGCGACGTTGCGACCGAAAATAGCTAGAAGAATCTCATCATGGTTTTGGCGTCCATTCTGCGGCGTTCGTGCGAATGAATCGCCGCACGTCAAATTATTTACGCAAAGTTTAGTGGCGTAACGAGCCTTGATAATTTCGCTCAGGCGATTAAAGTGGTAAGACATTGCGATGAGGACGTAGAATCGACAATTCCAACGCGAAAAAGAGTATACAGACTCACACAGGCGCCGACAACGTGACTCCAACGGTCTGTGGACGCGGGACGCGGTGCTTTTTGCTCGTATACTTCATTGTGCATGCGTTCCCTGCTGGAAATGGGCGAAGTGAAATTAGGCCAAAATTCACATTGAACCAATGTGCAACTGTAGGTCCAGACACACTGAGCAATATGCATTTTTGAAACAAAAACCTATGTGCACCAATTGGTAATCCTTTAGGGAATTCACATTGGCTGATGGCATTTATGAAACAAAAACCAATGAGCAGCAATTGGCAACAGGTACCCCGATGCACATTGCATTGAGGGAATTTATGGGGCAAAAACCAATGAGCAGCGATTGGCAACAGATGCTCCTGCGCACATTAGGTTGATGGTATTTATGGGGAAAAAAGTAATGAGCGGCTATTGGCAACAGGCCCCCCTGTCCACATAGGATTGATTGTATTTATGGGGCGAAAACCAATAAGCGGCAATTGACGACAGACACCCCTGTGCACATTGGGTTGATGGCATTTAGGGGGCGAAAACCAATGGCGGTAATTGGCAACAGGTGCCCCGGTGCACATTGGTTTGATGGTACCCAGTCAACCAGCAACAGTCTATTAAACATCCGAGAGATGTGTTGTCCGGACATTTAACATATCCAGTGGATATCTGCTATGATCCAACACTGAAAGTATGTACTGTGCAGTGCAAAATGATTCCCCAGAAAACGTACCACTAACGCAATCTGGATGATGAAGCTGGACATTCAGGACCATTGTAGGATGTTCAGCCTGATCATGTGGATGTACTATGTGCATACCTCAGAAATATTACTCTCCCTGGTATAGGGACCAGCCCTATGCCAGAAGGCAACACACAATAGTACAGCCAGTGTCTAAGCAGCCTCCTTTTTATGCTAGCATACAGCGTATGAACTGCCCTACAGAAAAATTTAAATAGATATGAGTCCAATTCTTTACAAAACAAGAGCTCAGAGGGCAGATTTGCTGTATAGCCCGTGCATGCTCTCAATGTATACCCAAATGGTGCATTACAGGTGTATAATGTAGGAATCAGGCCCACAGCAGACATTCTCTATATTGAAGTTTTTTTTTTCACCATCAAGCTAAGAAAGCTTTATTGCAGGATCAATGCAGATGACACTGACAAGGAAGGCGACACTGCTGATACTGACTCTTTAATGAGGTGGACCCCGCCACATGCGAGAGAACTGTGAAATACTGGACACAAACATTGTCACATGCTATGACGACGACCCTGAGGAATTTACTGAAGTCTAAGGCGAGGACATGTGCTCTAGTGACGAGGACACCAGAATCCCATGACAGCTATAGCACCGACTGCATGGCAAAAGATGCCGCTGCAGTCTTGCAGCGTAACTTTGATTGTGAGTAGCGTACTAAATTTCTGCCCAGCCTGTCAGGCATGCACATCCATTCTGTAAAAAAAGTCGCAGTGCCAAACAAATTGCCATTAACTCTTTGGGTGGTTTCATTTGAAATCGAACACGCTTGTCAAGGTGGGTCTCTCGATTTTTTTTGAAAAAATATATGTAATTGCCCCATTTCTGGAAAGAACAAAACCGCTTTCCAAAATTTTTTTAAAAAATATTTCGCTTCACAAAAAATTATTGAGTGGAGCAGGGTGAAAATCTGTTTTTTACTGCGTGATTTTTCTACCCAGTTCTGTACGCTGGTATGAATACGGGAAGCATGCAAAACTCACAGTAATTTTTTGTGGTCTTGTATGTTGTTTGGACTATTTTTTAGTTCAAAGGAAAATACTTTCGTAGTTTTGTTTATTGAGGTAAAAAATGCCAAACATCGTCTCTCTGACAATCGGGTGACATCTTCAGAGCCTTGTAACTCATGAGTTATTATATTTGTCACTTATTAAATACTATGCGAGTGTAGTCCTATACATGGGCTATCGACGGGAATAATTTTTGTTTATTTTATTTTCACCGAATTTTTTATATAAAATTTGAAATATCATCGAAAATGAAATTAACCGAAATTTTGAACTCACTTTATCAAAAAAGGCCATTTTTTATTTCGTTCAATTTTTTTATTATTGCTGCCGATCATATGAACTTTCAATTGGCTTGATGCGATTTCCCCCTTTTTTTTTGTTGTATCTTCTGTAGAAGTGATCGAAATCGCTCCCACGTTCTCAGAACAGCCAAACGCAGTTTCCGCAGGTCGCCTTCGCTGCGAAGACTATACTGCTTATTTGTGTGTTCAAATGCAGCGATTAAATTCAGTTTGATTGAGAACACTCGTGCTTGGCTACATGGTATTTTATTAATTCTTTATGATGGCAACTGACATTCCTTTGTCTGATATTTAGCGGTGCAACGGATGTTCCATTATCCGATGTTTAAAGCCAGGGCACAAAGGGCAGAGAAAACGGAACGAGCTCTTCATGTAGCTAGACCGGGGTCATATATCTGTTTGTGCTATGCACAGCTTGTTAGGCACGTACAGCACGCCTGGCCCTTCGCGCTATAGGCCCATCTTCGTTGCACCCAGAAAGCATCCGGCACGGGCGCCAATCCATGATGCGTCTTGTCGCGTGCGATCAAATAACCATGTAATCGCCTGTTCTTTATTGTCAGCGTGTATATCAAAAATATGTAATATCACATGCCCTTCTTTAAGGAAAAGCAGTTTGCAGAAAAAAAGTGAGGAAAACGGGCTGAGTTTACATGAAGCGAAAATAATTTTTTACAGAACACAAACACCAAATGGCGATAAATAGCCACTTTTATTAATTAACGCTAATATATTTAAGATGTACTTGTAAAACAATATGTTGTTGTGGTTTAAATAGTCCAGTTCACGAGCAGCGCAATATTGGAACTTTTTGACAACGGCATCGGCTTGCCTGTGAAGACGATCGAGCGCGGGGGCGAGCTGAACTTTGTACCACAGCGGTCGGATGCCCCCGAGAAGTTCAACAGCGTGGTAAGTCGAGACGGACAGAACGAAAACTGGAGCCAAAGCGAGAACCTGAGACGGTGGCCCTTCTGTTTGAACGAGTGCGTGCAGTTAAAAATAAGTGTTGGGTTTTTTGTTCAAGATTGATCGACATCTCTGACGCCAAGTAGCAAGGATTCCCACATGCACAGAAGGCAGCGAAAGCAGTTACTCAATGTCTCTGCAGGCTTTTAGTTTCTCCACTTTTTCACACCAAGCTTAATGCAAAGATTGTACAGGTATATGACCCCCGTCTGGCTACATGAAGAGCTCGTTCCGTTCTCTCTGCCCTTTGCGCCCTGGCTTTAAACATTGAGTAATGGAACATCCGCTGCACCGCTAAATATCAGACTAAGGAATGTCAGTTGCCATCATTAAAAATTAATAAAATACAATGTAGCCAAGCACGAGTGCTCTCAATCAAAATGAATTTACCCGCTGCATTTGAACACACAAATAAGCAGTATAATTTTTGCAGCGAAGCCGACCTGCGGAAACTGCATTTGGCCGTTCAGAGAACGTGGGAGCGATTTCGATCACTTCTTGAGAAGATAAAACAAGAAAAGGGGGAAATAGCATCAAGCCAATTGAAGGTTCATATGATCGGCAGCAATAATAAAAAAAATGAACGAAATAATAAATGGCCTTTTTGAATAAAGTGGGGGTTTAAAATATCAATTAATTTCATTTTCGACAATATTTCAAATTTTATATACAAAATTCAGTGAAAATAACATAAACTAAACTTATGCCCGTCGATATTCCATGTATAGGGCTACACCCGCATAGTATTTGGTAAGCAACAAATTTAATAACTCATGAGTTACAAGGCTCTGAAGTTGTCACCGTATTGTCACGTGGGAGCGATTTCGATCACTTTTAGAGAAGATACAACAAAAAAGGGGGAAATCGCATCAATCCAATTGAAAGTTCATATGATCGGCAGCAATAATAAAAAAATTGAACGAAATAAAAAATGGCCCTTATTGATAAAGTGAGTTCAAAATATTGGTTAATTTCATTTTCAACGATATTTCAAATTTTATATAAAAAATGCAGTGAAAATAAAATAAAAAAAACTTATGCCCGTCGATAGTCCATGTATAGGGCTACACCCGCATAGTATTTAATAAGTGACAAATATAATAACTCATAAGTTACAAGGCTTTGAAGATGTCACCGGATTGTCAAAGAAGATGTCACCGGAATGTTTGGCATTTTTTACCTCAATAAACAAAACTACAAAAGTATTTTGCTCTAAACAAAAAAATAGTACAAATAACATACAAGCGCACAAAAGAATACTGTGAGTTTTGTATGCTTCCCATATTCATACCAGCGTACAGAACTGGGTAGAAAAATCACGGATTAAAAAACAGATTTTCACCCTGCTCCACTCAATAATTTTTTGTGAAGCGAAATATTTTTTAAAAATTTTGAAAAGCAGTTTTGTTCTTTCCAGAAATGGGGCAATTACATATATTTTTTCAAAAAAAAATCGAAAGACCCACCCCGACAAGCGTGTTCGATTTCAAATGAAACCACCCCTTTATTATTACTGTTAGACAAACGAGCAGTGCTTGATGTTTTTAAAATAAAGTATAATATTTGAACAATGCTGCATACATAGCATAAGGTTTTCGAAATAAAGTATACTTACTGAACAATGCAGGATACTTTGCTTAATAAAAATTTCTGATAAACATAATAAAAAGCTCAGTGCATTCAAGGCCCACTTTAGGCAGTTCACATCACTCTCTCCTGTGGTGCAGAATGTTCCTGAAAAAACAACGAAAAATGTTATGTTAAAAATATGTGAGCAGTGGTTTACCATGCTTTGAAGCAAAACTAATAAAACAGTAAAGTTCAAAGTGAAGTGACTCAAATATGCAAGAATTGGAACTGATGTAAATAAACCACAATTATTTTACGCCTTGTTTTTTAAAGCACATTCATGCTGGATGTGTGTACTGTATTGCCAACTTTTGTTTGTTAGATTCACATCAAATATCACAGTGTTCTTGAAATTCGTTTTCTATGCATTCTTTTTAATCCATAATAAGGTACTATTATATAATTAAATTTTTCCTCTTAGAGAAACACTCCAAAGAAAGTTTTTCTATTTAAAATTATTCAATGCTGTTCACACCTGTAGTGTTTGATATCAAATTAAACCAAAAGAGGAGTCACTAGCTCGGTGATGTGATTGGCCTAAGCATTTTGGAGCACCTCTTGGAGCAGCCAAAACAGTGTTTTGGAACAGCAAAGGTGGCCTTTGGAGCCCTTGAACACGAATAGACCAGGAGATAAGTGTCTAAATTTGGTTGTCATATCCCTTTAAAGGGAAATTTTTGTAGTAGAGTATGATTTAAACAAGAACAGGAATGTTAATGAAGAAGTTTAGAAAGCACCATATCTGCAGCGACGTGGGGACGGCAACACCCGATGCGCGACCAGCGTTTCAGCTCACAAAGCAACTCCTGTCGCGCAAAAACGTGGTTTTGTTTCACAACATGACGGCATGTCTGGCACCCGGCACACTAGCGTCGGAGCGTCCGCACACGCCCGCGTCTATCGTTAAAAAAGTTTAAAAAAGAGGCGAGACGAGATTCGCGAGACGACGAGGCGCGAAACGGGAGACGGCGGCAAAAACATTGCAAAACCGGATGGAGGCAGGGCACTTTGTGTCGGGCGGCCGCTTGCGCCACCTAGCTCATGCATGCTCAATTACGTTCTTAGTTTAGTTTCGGTTTTGAAAGGCGACCGAAATTAGTCATTGGGCGCAGGCTTGGTACAGATTACTCATATTTTGGCAAAATGTAGCAGGATGTAGCAGGGTTAGCCCATTGGCATTGTTTGGCGCAACAATCACATCACTGCTGGCTTTAACATTTAAAGCATCAAAATACTCTCACATAGAAATTATGCTTTGAAGAAATTGCGCACCATACTCTATTGTTTTAGAAGTTAGAATTAGAAAAAGTTAGAATTATGTGCTGACGTCGGCTTACCTTTTGAGATGACTGATGTCAGGCAGGTGCATGGCGAAGTTAATCCGTGACTATGGTTTCTACCCTGAAGTCTTCACATTTATGGCAGCTCCGCACTGCATCTGATAAAAAAAAAAAGCAACAGACGCATGACACCAACAGTTCCATAAATCTCATTCCATGTGTGAAGCGATCTGCAGTACTTTTCCAGAGATTACTTACTTATGATGCACTCAGCAAGGTGAAGATTCCTGAATGTCAACTTTCCTTCACGTCCTCCCCACAAAACTTTTTGCCCCAACTTGTCAGTCAGAAACCGCTTTGTGATCCGTCTCGTACAGGAGGCATAACCAGATCCGGCAACTTTGCTGAGCTGTCGAACATAAAGAAACATCCACATAGCAGCCGCTTAGTTCAACCATAACTAGGGATTGGATGTTTCTGCTTATTTTTAGTCAAATTTGGCAGGTGTTTATCAGCATCTATATCTTCATTAAATTTGCTATTAATAATTATACCTGCTCTTATTGAGGCACTTCCGACATTTAAACTGAGGAATTTTGACGTCTTTATCTCAATATGGCGATTGGATTCAAGATTAGACCACTAGGCACGGGCTCGGGCCAGCACGTTGGTTGGCCTGGTTCGGGCTCAGGCCTGCTGTAACTGGCCGTGGTGCCGAAGGAGGCCATCGTAGAAATCGGCGTCTCGATTATCTCAGCAACATCAACTCCAGAACCACTAGACAAGTATTCATGAACGTAGGCCCACCTCAAGACAGAGGACGGCAGCGTCGTTAATCATGAGGTGAGCTTCAGGTTAATCCCAGTGGCGTGATGTTTTTGCTTGTGGTGATAAATAGCGGCAAACCAAAAATAAAGGGACATTGAAGCGCTCTGCTAGGAATTTAAAATGGGGGACTCACAAACATTAACGCTAAACAATCTCAACCTAATTGATCATGAGGAACACAATAGCTGGGGAGAGTTAACATAGCGGCAATGATGTAGTGGGGAAGCTTACAGACATAGTAAACAATTATACACATACTGGGGAATGCCTGGCACATATTCAAGAATGAATACTTGCTCACTAGATCTACAAAATATTTTAGAAGATACAAACTGCAAATTAGTAGCCTTTCTTACAAAACACATTGCTGTATTTTAATCACAGTGCTGAAACCCATAAAAACACTTTTGACTACATTTATTTTAATAAAATGTTCTCAATATGTACATGACACCAGCAGTCATAACTTTGATTTAGTTTATCGCAAGCTATATTGCTCTGGCAGCAACGAAGACAAACCTTTTAAATGTGCAGTGAACCAGAATTAATAGAATATGATGAAGTTTCCGTATACCACTTCAAAATAACCAAAAACAATGCTTTTCAGATCAGTATGTTTTGCTATAAAAGGCTATAAAGCTATAGCCTTTATATTATATTCTAAAGCTTTTAGTCTTGCCACGTCCAGTTGTGCAGTGATGTGATTGGCCTAAGCCATTTTGGAGCACCTTTTGGAGCAGCCAAAACAGTGTTTTGGAGCAACAAAAGTGGCCTTTGGAGCAGCCAGAAGAGTGTTTTGGGCAGCAAAGGAGGCTTTTGGAGCAGCCCAAACAGTGTTTCGGAGTAGCAAAAGTGGCTTTTGGAGCAGATATTCTTAGAAAAATTAAGTATTTGTTTTAATTGTTGGAAAAACGAAGGCAACTTTGTGATATATTGTGACAGAACTCGCTGTTTGTGTTTTACTGCTGAGACATCCTACAAGTGTACAGTGTTATAGGCGTTGCCGAGCCATTCCGAAAAGAATACTTGTCACCGTTTAACTGGTTCCCGACGTGCCAGATTTTCGTCCAAAGTAAGCAAACGCAAAACAATGAATGGCAAGCGTCCTGGCTGGCGCCTTTGTCATGCAGTCATGTTCACATGCACGTGAGGGCAACTTCAGCAGGCTTGAAGTGGCACAAGCTTCGTTGTGCGAGCGGAGACAATGGCTGTTCAATCGAAACCGAAACAATGCCACTCTCCTCCGTCGCCAACTGGTTCCCGAAATAAAGTGCAAAATGTAACTGTCCAGCATACAAAAAAAAAAAAAAAAAAAGTAGTCGAGCGGCCTGTGCTTGCCAGGCCGGCAGGCGATGTACAAGCTGTACACACAGAAAAAAAGAACCTAAGCGCATCGATGCATGACATCGCGAGCCAGGGTCAAAACGTTTTTGGAGCGCTTTTGTGCACCGACCAAACTCGAGGCAAATAAGCGCGCTGTGCGGGTTCAACATGCAGACATTGCCTTCTTTGCTTTAGCTCACTTCTCTTCACCAACTTTCTTTCGCGGCAAATTTTTCACGTACCGGGCTCCCTCTTGAAAGGAAGTCCACCGAGAGAAACCTAGGTAATCAGTATTTCGACAAGCAGTCTTTGAGTTAGAGGGCTTCTTGTAGTAGAGTATGATTTAAAGAAGGCTAGGAATGTCGAAGAACAAGTTTAGAAAGCGCCATATCTGCAGCGACGTGGGGACGGCAGCACTCGACGTCGCGCGACCACGGTGACTGTGGTCGCGCCAGCTCTTCAGCTCACAAAGTAACTCTCGTCGTCCAAAAACATGGTTTTGTTTCACAGCATGACGGCACGGCTGGCACCCGGCACACTAGCGTCGCGGCACCCGCACACGCCCGCGTCTATCGTTAAAAAAAATTTAAAAAAGACGCGAGACGAGATTTTTCAGACGACGAGGGACGAGGGCAGGAGCAACGTTGGGCATGAGGGCACGAAACGAGAGACGGCGGCAAGGAGGTTAAGACGGCGGGAAAAAATATGCAAGACCGGATATACGATTGATGCAGGGTACTTTGTGTCGGCCGGCCGCTTATGCCACCTAGCTGACGCATGCGCAATTACGGTTTTCAGTTTAGTTTCGGTTTTGAAAGGCGACCGAAATTGCTCCTTCGGCTCAGGCTTGGCGCAGATTACCTGTATTTTGGCAAAATGTAGCAGGATGTAGCAGGCTTAGCCCCTTGGCGCAGTTTGGTGCAATTGGCGCAGCAATCACATCACTGAGTTGTGGCTTTGCTTAGCCTTTGTGCATTTTGAAGGTCTGCCAGTTACAATTCGCCAAGGGCCATCTATGGTGAAGATCATTACCGCACCTTAGTTGATGAACACTGATTTCCTCTTCTATTTGAGAACTTTCTTGTGTGAAGTCTTGTTGAGCCACATGCCATTACCAATGCACACATAGAAGACAAACTTCAGTTCATCTTTGAAGCAGCACTATGTACAGGAAATTTACCAGCGCAATATAACCTGTACTGGGATTTAAAACAGGGTCCTATTTGTCAACGGCAAGCCTCAAAACTAATTTTGTTGATGAAAAAAAAATTGTAGCAATATTTACGCGGCAAAACACAATTTGAGTTTGGCACAAAATTGAACCGGTGTAACTAGCAGTTATCTTTCTTACCTTATAATTGCCGGAGTTAACGATTTAAATGATTTGACATAATCGTCATCCTCCAATTCTTCTTCATCTCCTCTCTCTCTCTTTACCCCCCCCCCTCCCTCCCTCCTCCCCTCTCTCTCACACACACACACACACACACACACACACACACACACACACACACACACACACACACACACACACACACACACACACACACACACACACCTCTTCTCCAAATAGATACAGACCGCGCCACGCCTTGACACATATAATTCATTCTAAGCTTAAGCTTATCAGCACAAAAAAAAATGATAAAACACAAACTTTACCTAGTTTCTGAGCATATGAAAACAAACACACGGCACCCCATCAATGAAGTTCCTTGTACTTGTGGCGGTATAACTTAAGAAAATCTCAAATTTAAAATACGTCTTATGAATTGCTTCGCAAGCGCGAAAATGAAATGACGATTACCTGCTTCATACAAGCTTCCTCCAGCCCTCCCGGGCAGTCACTCATCTCGTCGGAGGAAATTTTTGGGTACTAGCACCCACTTGCTGTCACTGGGTTTCCGCGTCACTCGGCGATCCTGAAACGACCGGCGCCGAGAGTTACTCCCACATACTGTGCTTACAGCTGCAACTTTTAGCTTAAAGGAGATGGTCACTAGACTAGGCCTAACGCCGTGGGGAGACTAGAACTTACCAAAACAGCTTTAGGATCCGCGCCTTGAGGAAGTCCGATTCCGTTTCGTCACACCAGCTTGACGGGCAGAAATTCTCCACATCAGAAATTGAGATGATATGTGGCTCATGGTCGTCCTCAAGACGTACGCTTCCATAATCGTTCGTAAAATTCCGGTAGCTCGAGTCTCTCGACTCTGCAACGTGCTTCAGGCGGTTAGACTTCCCGCGAACGTTGCTTCGGCCGCTTCGGTTCGTCCACGTGCTTCCACAGCTTCCACGCTTCCTTGTCCTCCGGCTGGAACGTTCGGTTTAACACGTCGGACTTCCTGACGCAGGGGATGTATCACGTGACTATATTACTTCGTATTTTAACCCTTGTTTTTGTTTGCTGAAGTAAAACAAATAGTTAAGAGATTGATTTATTTATCTTAATATAGCAAAACATTTGCATAAATTGCACTTTAAAACCTTATTTTGACCCCACTGCTCACTCCAATGACTCCAGCTCACACTATATTGTCACGTGGTTTAACCCGCAAGCCCGCAAGTCCCGCAAGGGTGACTCGGACTGATGCACTTAAGAAAATAATAAACGTTTCTAAAAATTATAGTATTAATTAATTGTCAAATATAAATACTAAGCGTATATTAAACTGATAACGAAATATTTTTTTTGTTTGTCATTTTAAGTAGAAACTTGCATTTGCTGCGGGATGACGTCGGAGTGAATTCTAAAATTTCAATTTGAGACATGTAGGGTGTCGCGCTGTGCGATTATGAACCCAAACAAAATAAATATTTGGAGCCAAGAAGTATACCCCGCTTGCCAAGGACAACAGTCCTGAGACGAAGTTGTGTCCTGAAAAATGCTACAACAGGTCAGGGACCCGAACCGACGACGCCGACAGCAGTTTCTGTAAGCTCGGTTGTCTCGGAGCACGGTGAGACAAAAAGTCCCCGTGAACTAAGTAGTACCAATGAAATCGGAAGCGGTCGCAGTGCTGGGCCAGTTAGTGGAGACACAAGTGATAAAATTGTGAAAGGCGACGGGATATTTGAAGACAATTTCCTGTCCAAGTTTCCGAAACGGCTACTGCCAAAGACGAATGTAACAAGACAGACGTACCCTGTTTCGG